GGAACCTCCCCAGCCCTGGGTGTCACTGAACCAGTGAGCAGGAGGAAAGACAAGAAAACAGTGGCACAGCCACGAAGGGAAGTGCCGAGGATAGAGAGGTGTGGCGCTGGCTACAGAGGTTGTGGTGGGAACACAGCGAGACAGCCCAGCCAAGGATGAAACTCACTAGAGAAAATGTTGCAAGTGCCAAACCAGGAAACAGGGCACCGAATGGGACCAGTAATGTTGGTCTGCAGACCTGAGAACAACACAGTTTAAAGATAAAATCTGCCTGAGGAAAAAGTGGGCTAATCAGAATTGCAATATTCGAGACACAAGCAACATAAGGAAATCAATGCCTCCCATACGAAGGATCAAAAGATTATTTCAGTCTCAGAATTAGCTGATGCAGACATTGACAAACTACTGGGTAAAGAATTTTTTTAAATCATTATAAAGCTCGGGCCCGGCGCGGTGGCGCAAGTGGTTAAGGTCCTCACCTAGCACGCTCGGGATCCCATATGGGCGCAGGTTCTATCCCGGCAGCCCCGTTTCCCTTCCAGCTCCCTGCCTGTGGCCTGGGAAAGCAGTCGAGGACGGCTTTGGGACCCTGCACCCGCGTGGGAGACCCGGAAGAGGCTCCTGGCTTCAGATCGGCATAATTTCGGCCGTTGCGCTCACTTGGGGAGTGAATCATCGGATGGAAGATCTTCCTCTCTGTCTCTCCTCCTCTCTGTATATCTGCCTTTCCAATAAAAACATAATAAAAATAAATCTTTAAAAAAGTCATTATAAAGCTCTTCAATAGGGGACTAGTTTCAAGTTCTACAAAGAGCTTCACAAATCCAAACAAGCAAGCCTGTGAAGAAATGAGTGAAGGAAATGAGCAGGCATTTTCAAAAGAACAAAATCATATGGCTAATAGACAGGAAAAATGCTTAGACTCCTTAGCTATCAAGGAAAGACAAATTAAAAAATCACATGTGTTCCACATAACTCCAGTGAAAGTAGCCTACAACAGAAATCAACTAACGACATATGTTGTTGAAGATGGGAAGGTATAATGGAAGTGCAGCAGGAATAAATATGTCCATAGACAGAAACAGAGAGAAGTATATCCCTGTACTCACAATACAAGGATGGTCTCACCATGACACAACAGATAAGCCCCTACATTGTTGGGAGACACCTCAATGGCAGTATGATGGACTTCTGAGGGCACCTGGAAGACACCCAGTGAAAGACTGGAGAGGAGATCAATGGGGAGGAGTGGGGAGAGGGAGGGGAAACCCCAATGCCTATTAAACTGTGTCATAAAATTAAAAAATAAAATAAAAAGATGTGGTGAGAAAGGTACCCTACTCCATTGTTGGTGGAGTGTAGACTAGTGCAACCATTGAAGTCAATATGGAGAGTGCTCAGGCAACTGAAAATTGATCTTCCGTATGACCCAGCTATCCCACTCCTGGGAATATATCCGAATGAGATGAAATCACCATATAGGAAAATGCACTGCAGCCCTGTATTTATAAGAACACAATCCGCAGTACCAAAGACATGGAAACAACTCAGATACCCATCAACAGATGATTGGAGACAGAAACTGTGGTACATCTACTCAATGGAATCCTACACAACCATTTTAAAAAATGAAAATCTAATATTAGCAATAAAATAGTCCCAACTGCAGATCATTACACTGAGTGAAATAAAAAAAATTCCTAATAGGAAAAATATTTTATGTTCTCTCTGACATAGATGATTCAAAACATGCATATATAATATACATATTTTATTACACACATAATATGCCATATAATAATTATTTGATATAGTATGCTAATATATTTATATTATATATTATATGCAATAATACATTATATCTAAAATATATTGTTTCATACATTATGATATTTTTATGTTATATATTGTATTATATATATTATATATATAATCAAAGGTACACAATATTCTTATAGATGCACTATAAAATAGAGAATAGCATAGTGGGAATTGAAGATACATTGCAGTACACATCTCAACGCCCAAATAAAAGAAGGACTCCCAATAAAACAGTTAGGTATATTGCAACAGTATAATACTACATATTTTATGTTTGCTGAAAACTGCAATGCCATGATACATTGAAATAACAGAAAGTTAAACTTGCAACTGTTACTAAAGGACTGTGTTACTAAACTCTGTTACTAAAGGGCTACATTAATAATATAGGAGGAAATATTGAGGAGGGAGGAATGGAAGACAGAGGGGGAAATCCCTATACCTACTCAACTGTTATCAGAGAAATATTTAAAATAAAAGATAAACAGGTAGCCAGACAGTGTTCCTGTACCACAGACTCTCATATAAATAAGTAAATAAATACATTCACTTGCAACATTAATGATCAGTACTAGATAATGAAATTGTAAGTCATTTTTAAAGACTTTTTAATATGTTTCAGCTACTTGAAAGGGAGAGAGAGACAAAGAAAGTATAGCTCTTTCTCCCATTGATCCTCTCCTCAAATGCCCACCAACAGCTGTAACTGAACCACACTAAAGCCAGTGGCTCAGAGATCAAACTGAGTCATCCATAAGTGTGGCAAGAAGACACATTGCCATTGATGTATAATCACTTCTCTATTCATTTACAGCAACTCAGAATTGAGAGCAGAACCATGACCAGAACCCAGGTAACTCAATACGGGATGTGGGCACCACAAGTAGAATCCAAACATCTGCTTCCCCAATTTTTATTTACCTACCAAAAAATCTACATTATGTACAGGAGTATCTCAACACATTCACGGAGAACGTGTGTTCTCAAAAACTATGCACAGATTCCAAAATGTTTTTAGATGAAAATAAACATATTTCTAATTCCATCTTTCCATAAATCACTGGAAGTTCCCCAGTGTTACATGTGGACAGAACACAATGTCCTGGGTGGCTAGAAGGACTCATCCTGGGCTGAGACCTTCATGGAAAGTTCTGGCAGACCAGCTGTCTCAAGGCTACTCCAGACCAGCTCCAGAGCATCTGTCATGCTTAAGGGCAACGTCTCCACATTGCCAGAAACTGTGTGTGCTATCTCATTCCATTGCTTAAACTGATACATTCATGGAACATTACTGAACACCTGTGCCTTGGCAGGTCACTCCTGCATTACAGACTGTATCTCCAGTACCTTCCAAGGCCAGGTACTGCCACAGTAAGTACCAGGCAGGGCTAATGGCAGGGTAAATGTTGTCTAATCTGCGCTGGGCTAGCCTGGCACTGAAAGATTATACAACTTCTTTGCTACTAGTCCTGGAGCAGCCCTGGTCGTGGACCAGATAGCCCCACTGCAGAGATTAAACTCTTCCTCCTAAAGTTCTTGTACAGGAAGACATGGAGCTGACTTCTCTGAGTGCTTCTTAGGCAGCCATCACAGGATGTCCACAACGTAACGTACACTAACCCATGAACAGAAACCAGGTGGGACAAGAGCCTTCCAAGGCCTCAGCTCCTCTGAGACCCAGAAAACAGTCTAGAGAGTAACACTCATTGGTCATGAGAACCAACACTGACCACTCAACCCCCTAGACTATATGGTAATACAAAGAAATAGTTATTAAAGGTAAAATGAACACAGATGGCAAAAGTATTCAATAAAGCAGAACAAGCCAATGAATTTCAACTTTTATTATTCATGAAGGCGAGCAGATACCCCAATCAGTACATCAATCTCCCCCTTCTAAGATCACCCCCATTCCCTGGATACCTCCATGTGGGGAAGACAATGAGGCATACCAGTGGGTCTTGGTAGACTTCTCAGCAGGTTAATTTGCTGACAACAAATAAGCATATATTTAACTTCCAACATCTCACACCTAAGATCCCAGGCTACAAACTGAAGTTTCAGTGGCCTAGTCCTCAGATATGGGTAATTTTCTAAGTATCTTGGGGGGGAAAAATAAACTTTGCAGTACATTTTTAAAGGATAAAAATAAGAAGTCAGATGAGATGTGGAGGACAGCAGCTTAAAGTCTCCAGAATCCACCTTGTCCACCACCTAGGTTTTGAGGTCCTGCTCTCACCCACATTGTCCACCACCTAGCTTTTGGGGTCCTGCTCTCAGCATGTGTATGACTTCCTGATTATGAACTTCTCATGCCCCATGTCTGGAACTTCTGTGATCCATGTGCTTATATGGTTTGTGGACTGACTTCACTTCATTGGCATGATGAGTTGCACACTGCTAGAACTCTTCAGCATCCCTTCCTCCCATGGGTGGGAAGAATTGAAGGACCTACTATGAGACAATCACATAACAAAAAAAAAAAATTGATGATGGCCAGCTAAATGCAGGGAGATTGGAGTTACTGTGACCAACCTTGGACAACAGAAGAATCTGTTTCTGTGCCCTGAGGAAGGAATAATAGTGAGGATCCAGGGACAAAAACCAAGTCTATGTCCATATACACAGATCCCATAATGTCTCACCAACATAAATCCATTACCACAGGCTGGGGAGTCCTGCTTTCAAAATCACTGACTTCCCACATGCTCTGGGATAGCAGACATAACAAAAACAACATAGACAAATTGAGCAAGTATTCTCAAAGTACCAGAACCATCTCACAATGAGACAAAACAGGCCACGGTGACTTCCTACGACATCTGTTCAATACTGTGATTTGTGCACTTCTGACCAGTTCTGTCAAAACACACAGCTTGGAAAACTATATACAGACCCATTGCATTCCAGAATCAAAAGCAACACACGACAACTGATGGGGACCCACCAGGTGCACTCTGACAGTGGGATATACAGTTAGTGGAAAGTTACTCAACAAAATGTGACTACAGGCAAGATTGGCTTATCAGAAAATGTTCCATTTGGGACAGTGATGACGCATGGCATTAAAACACTGATAAGGGCTATGGTGGCCCCTATATAAGCCGTAGCTCTTGCCTGCTGCTGCACACTTTCCACTCGACCTGCCTTCCCCACTGACTTGGGAGCCAGGAAGAACCATGAAGTGGCTGCTGCTGCTCGGCCTGCTGGCACTCTCTGAGTGCGTTATCCACAAGTAAGTCTGGCATTGGAGAGAAGGAAGTACGGCTCCAAACAGCAATTTCTCAGCACTGTGCTGCCTCTCACATGCCCTAGCTTTCCTAGACATCCCTTCCTTTGCTTCTTTTCTTCCAACATCTTAGACTCCTTGGTCTTTCTTTCCACCTATCTGGGGAAGCCTCACTGTAAGCATGATTTACACTATGTGCAACCGAAATGTTGTATCAGCTCCATCACTGGAGAGCAGTCATCTCCCCTCTGTGTACCACTGGATAACAGATGGGAGCTTCTGCCTTCTTTTGCTTCTCTTACACCACTTTCCTCATGTTCTCAGGCTTCTGTAACATCCCCCAAGCAGGATTACTGCCGCTACCCCTCCTCTCCTAACCATGCACCCAACATTGTCCTGCTCCAGGGTCCCTCTGGTCAAAAAGAAGTCCTTGAGGAAGAACCTTAGTGAGAAGGGATTACTGCAGGACTACCTGAAGACACACAACCCCAATCGGGCCAGCAAGTATTTCCCCAATGAGGTCTATGCCAAGAAAACTACTGAGACAATGGAGAACTACATGGATGTGAGTGCACGGCAGCGGAACACAGCGGCCTCATCCTTGATCAGAGGGTGAAGGGGGCAAGTATGACAGTGAAGGATGGCTCTCTGATCTCAAGAGCCCACAGATACTCAGGGAAAACACACTCAGAGCTATCACTCTTGCGCTGTTCATTCTTTCAATTCTCATTGATACTGAGTGCTGGCCTATGTGTCAAGTTAGATCTTAGACATTGGGGTCTAACAGCAAATAAAGTCAGTATTAGACAGGAGGGAAAGGATGACGTCAGAGAGCCCCAACACCCATTGAGGAGCCATACTTGAAGGCAAAAAAAATCAGAGAAGGGGCCACTAAGTGAGACATGTCTCCTGCAAGGCAGAACACCTCCTGGGAACAGGGAAGAAGGGAAAAGATTTCCCCAGAGAAGGGCGGGACAGCCAGACAGTAGTTTTCATGATCAATCTGTGGATTCAAACAGCCAGGATTTTGAGGAAGGGAAAACAGAGTGCATGAGAAGAGTGAGGAAGAGGAGAGGGGAGATAGAGTGGTACAAGTGAGGCGAAGAGCCTAAGATCAGATAGACTACAGAGAGTCCAGGGACAGCACAGCCAGATCCCTAAATTTCCAAGTACTATCTGAATCACTGAGGTGACACAATCAAATGTGAGTCTTAAGATCTCACAGACTCTTTCATTTGGGACCTAACAGCATGCCCTGGTCTTCAGTAGACCACCATGTGTCCTTTATGAGAGCAGCAAATAATCAAGGATAAGATGTACCTCTGCTTGTGGTCAAGGACTTGCCCCGGGATCCAACAGATCTACTGACAATGAGGTCTCTGAGCCTTAGCATCCTGGTCTACAGAACAGAACTCACTCAAGGTCACCACCCGCGGGCCGCTACAAGTCAGTAACATGAAAGAGCTTCAGGGAGGGCTCAGCACAGGGCTGAAAGTTCTTCAGTGCAAGGCACAAACATCAGCCCAATTAATCCTTATACAGTTACTTACCAAGTACCTATTAGCTGTGACAGGCTGGCACCTGCTGAGGTCACAGCAGTAAGCGAAGCAAATTCCTCGGGCTTATACTCAAGAGAGAGAGACTACATACCAGCATGTGAGATGATGTCATTCAATGAGAGCGACTACAACGCATGACAAATTAGTTCATTGCAATGAAGGGAAAGATAAACATAGGAGCAAGGACTAATTTGGTTGATATGGTGTGAAGATTTGTGGACAAAGTAAAATCTGATTAAAGTTCCAAACGATGAAGAAGGACTCAACCAAGAAGAGATACAGAAAAAATATTTTTTCCTGCTTCAAGAGTAAGGAAGTGGAAACACTGTGGGGTGGAAAAGACCTTGTACTTGTCCAAAAAGGCGTGAACACCAGGGTAACTGGAATAGAGAACGTAGGAGCCCACTGACACTGAGAAACACCAGAATTCCTTTCAGAAGTCTACTGACAACACTAAGGCTTGGGAATAAGATTGTTCTGAAGGAGTCACTTTAAAATGACTGGCATGTCTCCCAATCAGCACATTAAACAACAACTTGAAGTTCGACTGCCTGTGAACCACAGGTTACAACTCATCCACTAAGAAGGGGATGTGCAAAAGGGTAAGATTGAGGAAGACAGGGAACCCACAAAGAAGACAGCACATCAGCCTTGATAACAAATGGGCTTGACACCGAATCAGGGAGGCAATCAGGGAGCAATCAGAAAAGACTTCAAGGAGGAGTGGAGACCAGGGCTGGGCTGAGAAGCAGGGAACACTGGATGGGGAGAAGAGGGAAGTTAAAGATGGAGAAATAAAGTGATGAGCAGCACCCAAGCAACCCTGGATAAGGGTCCCAGGTCCTTGAGCTCTGCCATCCTGACCCCCACAGGCTGAGTACTTCGGCACCATCAGCATTGGAACACCCCCTCAGGAATTCACCGTCATCTTTGACACTGGCTCCTCCAACCTCTGGGTGCCCTCCACCTACTGCTCCAGTCTGGCCTGTGGTGAGTGCCTGCGCCTAACATGTTCTGCCCTCCCCTTCAGGCAAAACATCAGGTGATGCTGGGAACCCTGAACACTCAGGGATGCTCACAGCTCCCATCCAGCCTATTAGAGCCACTCATGGATTAGAGCCACAAACCTTGCCCAGGCAGCTCCTAGGAGACAAGGGCTGCAGCTGCTCTGTGACACAAAAGGATGAATAGGCATGGACAGATGGACTCATTAAACAGAAAGCTTGTGGGGACACAAACTGAGACTTGCTTAAAGAGCTCCACCCTGTGAGTGCCATGTGATGCAGTGGATTTCAAACTGGACCAGGGCACTACACTCTGGAGATGAGCACAGCTCATTAAAAACACAAACAAAATGCACTGCTTTGCTAATCAAGGCAACTTAGCCTTGGAAGTCACCATAATATTTCAAGCTTCCAAACATCATCCAAAGGTCATCTTTCTCCACCAGAGTCCCAATGCAAGCCAACTGCACTCTGCGAAAAAGACATTACCAGCATGCTAACTCATCCTTTTCAGGGTAATGATGTCCCTTCCTGCCTTTACAGCATTCCATAAGCGCTTCAACCCTGATGACTCCTCCACCTACCAGGCCACCAGCGAGACCCTCTCTATCACCTATGGCACCGGCAGCATGACTGGCATCCTGGGATATGACACTGTGAAGGTGAGCACCCAGGGACTCTGCCCCTTACATTGCCCAGACCAAGGGATACCAACCAGTAACCATGGTGAATCCTTCAAAGCAAGGCCTACCCAGCAGCATGGGTCTTGGAGATCACACAACAAACCTAGCTGGGTGCTAAAGTAGAGATGTGACAGAGCTGTCACACACACTGGGGGCTGAGCCATAGGTGCACAGGAGAGTCTGCCAGGAGCCCACATACAACCTCAATGATTAATGTGATGCCAGAAACAGGGAAATGGGGCAGAAATGTTCCATTCTTTTCTAAGATCTCCCATCTTCCTCTTCCTAACCTTTGTCATGTAAGTCCCACAAGTCCCACAGGACATGGCAGGATTAAGAGTCCAAATTTGCAGGGATCTACTTTGCATCTGCCCAGATGAGGTGTAAATGCACAGACACCATCTGTCCTGCAGCAGAATCTCACAGTGACTCACATTCTGTGGCCATCTGGTCATCAGCTGTCAAAATTCTGCCCAATGGGGAACAACAATCATTCTGAGAGAAAATCCCTCTCCCTGCCTGCCAGGATGATGTCCTGAAAGCTGAGTCCTCTGGGAAATGAACCAAGATCCCTCTGGGTCCAGGGCTAGATCCCACCAGTGCTCCACCACAGACAGGTACACCTGGTGGACATCACCTCTCTCCACTCTGTACAGGTGGGAAGCATCGAAGACACCCACCAGATCTTTGGCCTGAGTGAGACAGAACCCGGCACCACCTTTATGTTTGCTCCCTTCGATGGCATCCTGGGTCTGGGCTACCCCAGCATTTCTTCCTCTGGTGCCACACCCGTCTTTGACAACATGTGGAATGAAGGCCTCTTGTCCCAGGACCTCTTCTCCGTCTACCTGAGCTCGTAGGTTGCCTATCCCCATACCTCTCCCACAGATACCATTTGCACCTGGCCCAACAAGGAACTTACCCAGGGTTGGATGGGCTGCGGACAATCTTAGAAGTATGAGATTTCAAAATCAATGTCAGGGGCTAGAGAAGGATGATTTTAGGAGCTATCAAATCACTCTATCCATCTCTCTCAAACTCTCTCTCTCTGACAAAGAATAATCATCATTACCTGTTTCTTACCAGCTTAAGTCTTTTTCCCTTGAATCACTCAATACCAACGTCATTGCCAGTTGGCTCTGTGATATTGATTCCCTCATCCCTGTCCCTGAGATTACATTTACAGTAGAAAAAAGCAATGCATGGCTCAACAGTCACAGCAAAACATAACAAGACATGACTGTGACTTAGGAGAGGATTTCAAAATATAATGGCAAGGATTCAACACATTCAAAGTTATATTTAGGCAGTGAGTATTAGTTGAAGTGCTCAGGTCGCTCTATTTGAAACCTACAACTCACACCAAGTTCTGGCTTTGAGTCCTCACTCCACTGCCTTTGTTTCAGCTTCCTCACACTCCCCACCCTGGGTAGTAGTAGGTGATGACCCTACTACTTGTTCTGCCAACCATGTAGAACACTGAGATTGAGACTTTCTCCTACTTTCAACCTGGATGAATGTGTGCAGTTTGGACACTTGGGAGATGAGCAGGTATATGGAATATCACTGGCTCTCCCTATCACTCTACACTTCAGATTGTAGAAAACAAAAAGTTTACGTAGTTAAGGCATGTTGCAAATCATGCACAGGGGGTTATTTATATAATACCCATTTTAGACCAGTACATTCCAGACTCCTGGGAAGCACAGAATCCATAAATTTGGGCACCAATATAAGTTCTGTTAATACTACTTTCCTAGGATTGCTTTTACATACCCCCATATATCTTAAGCAATGAAATTATAAAGTAATGAAAGCAAGCTTCTATTTTACTTATCAAAACATAAGGACAAAGAATGAATGAGGAATATACCAGGTATTTAGATTCTGCAGATTTTTTAAACCAAAATTCATTTATTTTCATTACTTAATTATTATTATCATTTTATGATACAGTTCCATAGGCCCTGTGATTTCTCCTATCCCATCCTCTAATCACCTAACCACCCCCCTAACTGAATTCCCCCATATCATTATTACAACAGCATAGTTCCTCATAAACAGTCCTAAGTCCATCCTTGTAGGAATGGACAATGGCAGACAGTCCATGCAAGGTCTAGGGTTGTCACCTCTGTCTGTCATACCTGCATTGTTACACTAGTGGTCATCAGTCACTACATCCTTCCGGTGTTAACAACTCAACTAGACAGCAATTGCACTCTCGCGTGTTTCAGCACAAGTGGATATTTAATCTGAATGAGGGTGTGTTTCACAAATGACCAGTTGTCACTAACCTTTTTGTATGCTTGCAGCCCTATCTCACCTGAAACAGTGCAGATGCCAAAAAAAATGGATTTGGGAATAACAGAGACTCCAGCATGAAAGCTCTCTGTGCCTCTAGCCCACACAATACACATTTTCTTTAGTCCTTGCATGACTGCATGAAGACTAAAACATCACTTGTGGGCCTCTGCATCTACCCATTGAAACAAAGGTTTCTCTGGCTCAGCACCATGGACATTTTGACCCCAAGTGCTGTCGTCAGAACTCACCCATGCCCTGTTGAGGGTGTGTACCATATCCCTGACCCTAATTCCATAGCACTCCGTACACCCACAAATCCTGACAATGACAAATGTCTCAGACACTGGCAACACCTGGACTGGCTGAGAACAAGGGAACTACATCATTCACCCCTTAGGAACCAGCCCCGTCCAATATTCAATTCTCTTATACTCCCCATGGCAACTTAATAAGTATCTGGATGCAAACAACGCATTTGGGAACTCAAAATTTGTAGGCTCTACTTTTGCCTGCCATGCTCCAGTGCTATCTTGAGCAAGCTGCCCTATTTCTCTATTCCTCAGAGACATTGCTAAGGGAAAATATTACTAATGAACACTGCTTGCACCTCGTGTCACAGGATAAGAACTCACCTCCGTGACATATCCATTACAGCTCCTGGCAATGATGAGCATCCCATCCAGGGTAGTTCTGAGGCAGTGCATGACAGACATGGAACACGTGAATAAATTAATTCCTATCTTCTCCTTACCTTCCCACAGTGATGATGAGAAGGGAAGCTTGGTGATGTTTGGCGGCATCGATTCTTCTTACTACACTGGACATCTGAACTGGGTGCCTGTCACTTACGAGGGCTACTGGCAGTTCACCTTGGACAGGTAAGACTGCCATTGCTGCATGAGGTCCTCTCCAGGGCCTGATCCTCTTTATTTACATACTCAGAGATGAGTCACTGTCCTGATATGCCTGCAATAGCCAGCACAGGTGGAGGCTGGAAACTGGCCATGCCATAGACAGCCCGGGAAAGCTGTCTCAATCAAAGGAAGGAGGCAGAACTATCACGGAGCCCAGCAAGAGTCTAATTAGTGCTTCCTTGTGGATCATGAGGCAGGACCATCACTCAGCACTCACAGAGAGGGCTATAAAACCCACATCACCACACCTCTCAACTTTGTGGGCACCTAGAAAGATCATACAATCCAGCTCTCTATAAAGACTGCCACTGGCCATCTACAATAAGAAATCAATGATGAGGACTGGCTCGGGCTATACCTGTCCCAGCTCTGTTGTAGCCTGACATCTCAACTGTTGTGTTCTCTGAGGAGAGTCCATCCAGGTCACAGGGGTAACTCCTGTGGACTCACCAGACCCTTCTTTGCATCTCATCCTCAGCGTCACCATCAATGGAAAGGCCATCGCTTGTGCAGACAGCTGCCAGGCCATCATCGACACAGGCACCTCCTTGCTGGCTGGACCCACCAGTGCCATTTCCAAGATCCAGAGCTACATCGGAGCTTCTAACAGCGAGGCAAGTCTAACCACAATGCTCTCTTCCAGCCTCAGGTGATCAGAGCACCATGCACAAGGAATGAACCCCCTCTAAACTTCATATTTGCACCTTCCAGGGTACCATCAGCTGCTCGGCCATCGACTCCCTGCCTGAAATTGTCTTCACCATCAATGGTGTCAAGCATCCTCTGCCCGCTAAAGCCTACATCCTGGAGGTAATGTGGCAGGGGACAGCCTCACAACGGGCACACTCACCAGGTAGCCACATAATGCTCCTGGGCACAAGGAAATTTACACTTCTCCATGTGGAAGAGACCATCTGCAGGGCCAGCAGAGAAAAAAAAAAAGCATACTCAAAATCAAGCATGAATGGAAATTTGGATGATGTTCCTAAGGGAACAGCAAAACAAAGAATATATTTTGTGCCCTTCTATACACCTGGGGCTGAGACCTGAGTCCCAGAGGCCAGTCTATGATTTTTATCAAGCTTTAACCTCTCTGAGCCTCCATTTCCTTACGGCAAACCAGAGATGTCAGCCCAAACCACCTTCAGATTGAGGTTAGAGTGACTGTTTAAGAACGACCACTTTTGCCACCTACTACCCTGACAGCTGAAAAAACAGTTTATCCCAGGGAGATGCTTTCCACAGTGAGAAGTACTCACCCTGGCCATTTCCCCAGACAAATCCTTCCTGAAGTCCAAGCTGCAGTCCAGTATCCCAGGCAAACAGAAGAACTCACAGCTGCCTGCTGTACTTCTGGCCTAGAGGAGATGTGAGAAGTACTCACATCAGCAGGGTTGCAAACATCCCTCACAGAAGCTGACTTTTCCCTACACCTTTCTGCTAAGGTCAGGGATAGTGTGTATGTAAAAGACATCAGATACGTGCAGCAATCCTTGCACACAGGAATGCAGTGAGTGGGAACAGCTTCTGCAGGTGCACCCCAGGTCAGCAGCAATCACATCCCTGAAAAAGGAAGCCACTCCGTGCAGAGGCCTTGCAGACAGTCCAGAGAGCCCAGTATGCTTGGTACCCACACCCTGTCACCCTGACCCTCTCCGGTCTCCTGTGCTGTTCTCTGACCTGCAGGAGGATGGCGCCTGCTCCAGTGGCTTCGAAGGCATGAACCTCGACACCTCCTCTGGAGAGCTCTGGATCCTGGGTGATGTCTTCATTCGCGAGTACTTCACCGTCTTTGACCGCGCCAACAATAAGCTTGGCCTGGCTAAAGCAGTTTAAGCCTTCAGCTTTGAAGCCTCTTCCACAGAGATTTGGCCTCCTTCCTGCACCCCCTTAGATGCATAGAATCATCCTGATTGTTCTTCCTGAAACATGGTAATCTGCAAATCATAGTCATGCTTGCCCCAGTTCCCACTCACATGCAAATGTAGAATAAAAACAGCTGATAAAATGTGTGTATATGTATGTGGCTGCTTCTTCACTATAATAAGTTTCCTCCACAATTATCAGGTCAGAACACCAGGTAGACAAGCAGAAATTAACATACCCACCTAGTTAACACCAAACACAGTGACATTCACTAACAGGGTCAGGATAACAATAACCATCAGCAGCAGGTCCTGCTCAGAGTATCCCAAAAAGACCTGAGGACCAGATACACTAGGCTCACCGCCTCCATAAAGAAGAGAATTCTTAGTCATGTAGGACAAAGAGTCAATTTCTTACCGCTCCTAGAAAGCACCAAGTTCATAGTGAAGAAATTGGGGGCCTGTCCAGAGGAAGAGCTATGACAATGATTTTCCCAAACAGGCAGGAGGAGGCCATGTTGCCTGGTACACTCAAACAGAAAAGTGACAGAAGCTGGCACTAAGAACTTCCGGACTACACGCTGTGATGAACTAACAGTTGACAGCCTCCATACTCTGAATGTAATAAGACCACGAACTAATCCTATTCCCCATCTGCAATACAAAGACGAAAGCTTTGGGGCAGGTACTTGATGCAATACTTAAGACACCTCTTGGGATTTCTGTAATCCCATGTCAGAGTGCCTGAGGTTGAAAACTCAGCACTGCTGTCAGTCCACCTTTCTCCTGATGCACACCGTAGGGGGCACCAGGTAAAGGCTCTAGGACGTGGGTCCCAGCCACCATCACGAGAGATGAAGATTTCAGATTTCTACCTGACACAAGTGGGGAGTAAACCACCAAAAGGAAAGTCTCTGTCTCTGTGACTTGGACTCAACCTCTTCTACCCAAGCTTTTTTTGAATACAGCTCAAGGGTAATACGGAGAAGTGAGGAGAGAAGGGAGGTACAACAGGAGTGTTGTCCATCTCCCTGTGGAGGCAGTACCTCTTTTAGATGCCCACCTGTTTATATGACTTGAGAACACAAACTGGAAGGAAATAGAGCAGCATTTCTTTTTTCTTTACTTTTTTTTTTTTGGCCAGGCCCTTTAATTTTTTATTTAGTATTATTATTATTATCATTACTATTATCATTTTATGATACAGTTTCATAGGCCCCTGGGATTTCCCTTATCCCAGTCCCAATTCCCCACCGCTACTGAGTTCCCCTACATCATTACTAAAATACAGTTTTTCATATTCAGTCATATGTCCATTATTGTGGGCATGGACAATGGTAGAAGAGTCCCGTATCCTATTGTCAAGATATAGTAAACAGTTTCATTGGGAGTCCATCAAGACTCTGGAAGTAGAGATGAATACTACATTGTATCTTCACATCTAGATATGTTAGTCTCCATTTCACAGTTACTGTACATCCCCTTAAATGAAGAGCCACAATACAAAATCAGCAATAAGAAGAAAAGTAGAAACTTACAATGCCATGAGCTAAAGTAACATGTTACTAGATATGACAGTCTCCATTACACAGCTACTTACTATAAATCCCCTTTAATGAAAAGCCACAAAACAAAATCAACAACAGGAAGAAAAAAGAAATCAACAACACCATGAAGTTAAATAATATACTACTAAATGACTAACGTGTAGCTGAAGAAATGAAAATCAAGAACCTTCTTGAAGAACATGATGCTACTCTCTGATCTATGAATCATTGAAGAATTTAATCAGAAGAAAGTGTTTTGAAGAGATAAATCTAACAATAAAAAGTCAAAACTCATGAGATATAGTTTCCACTGATTTTTGTTGGTGAAATGTGTCTGCTGTAGGCAACAAATAGATGTGTTTTGTTTTTAATCCAGTCTACTGATCTATGACATTTGATGAAGAGTTTAAGCCATTTACATTCAGGGTTAATATGAATGGATGGTACTTTGGTCCTGTCATTTTAGGAATGGGTTGTTCATTGGTTTAGTCTTCTGTTGTCATTTTACTGGGATGTTCTTTACATTTGCCTTTGGTTTTGGTAGGTGCTATTCCTCTTCTTTGTCAAAAGAACATCTTGAAGTATCTTTTTAGGGCAGGTTTGGAAGAGGCAAATTCTTGTAACTTTTCTTTACTGTGGACGAATTTAATTTCCTTTTCAAAGACAAAAGAAAGCTTTGCTGGATATGTTATCCTGGGCCAAAATTTTTTTTTCTTTTAGAATCTGGAATATGTCACTCCGTTCTCTTCTTGACTGTAGTTTCCTGTGAGAGATCTCCTGTGAGTTTAATTGACATTCCTTTATATGTCAGTTGATTGCTTTCATGTGCATATTTAAGGATCTTTTCCTTATGTTCAATTGAAGAGAGCTTGATGATCATGTGTTTTGGTGAAGATTGCTTTTGGTCAACCCTGTTGGGGAGTTCTGTTTTCCAATTCTTTCTCTAGATTAGGGAAATTTTCCCTTACTATTTCATTGAACACATTTGTAAACCTAGCTTCTTCTTCTGCACCTTCTGTGACTCCCATAACTCTTGCATTTGGCCTCTTAATAGTGTCTTTCAATTATTGAATATTTTTTTAGCTTGACCTAGTTCTGCTCCCAGCTTTTGTTTGTTTCTCCTTGGTGACAGGAAGTATTTTTCGATTCTGAGATTCTTTCTTCTGCCTCCTTCATTTATTTTGGAGACTCTCCACTGTACTTTTAATTTGCTTCATCGTATTCTTCAATTCTCATGTATCAGCTTTCATTTGATTCATTTCCATGGTGACATATTCCTTAAATTTCTTGAACGCTTGCTTTACACACTTCTCGTTGTTGATAAAGAAGCTTTGCAACAGTGTTTTGAATTCTATATCTCCTATTTTCTCAATGTCTTCCTCAGTTAACTCTGAAGTTGGCAAAGGGCTTTGCTCCTTTGCAGGGGAGTCTTCAGTAATACTCATTGTGCCTCTGTCCTTCATTTGCTCTTGGTCATTGTACTTCTGGTTCACAGATTCTCCACCTTGGGGCAGGTTTCTAAGCTGTGTCACCCACAGGTCTACAGTTCAATTTTACTTAATGCAATTGGTACATGGTCTTTGTTTGCAGTCACTTGTGCCACTCCCTCCAGTGAGTTCCAGGTCTGGGATCTTACGCTAGATTTCCACCATGGTCTCTGGAGCCAAAGCTCCTGGCTCACCACGCTCCACCTCCTGTGATATAGCGCTGAGGCTGCATCATTGTTTGTCCACCCTTTCTTCCATTTTCGATTAGAGCTGGTCCCAGGATTAGGGAGACACCAGGTGTCCTCTTTAGCTAGGTTTTTGGTGGTGGTAATCTTGCAGGAAACTGTTGGCCATTAGGTATGAGGGCCACACACCTATTTTGACCAGTATGATACCACAGTCAGTATTATTTTCGTGTGAGACCAGTGCAATCCACTGAGCTCAGTGAGTTCTTGCGAGGTTAGCACATGCGCAGCTCACTGTTGTCCCTGCAGTCCTAAAACTTTTGTCACACTGTACAAAATGGTACCTGACATGCCACTACTAGAGTTCTTGATCTGCTGGCCATCAGGTCTGAGGGCTATCCAGACCTATTTTTTTTCAAAGATTTATTTATTTATTTTTGGAAAGATGGATACACAGAAAGGAGAGACAGGAAGGAAGATCCTTCGTCCAATGGTTCACTCCCCAAGTGAGCGCAACGGCTGGAGCTGAGCCAATCTGAAGCCAAGAGCTTCTTCTGGGTCTCCCATGCAGGTGCAGGGTCCCAAAGCTTTGGGCTGTCCTCAACTGCCCTCCCAGGTCACAGGCAGAGAACTGGATGGGAAGCAGGGCCACTGAAATTAGAACCAGCACCCACATGGGATCTGGATGCATTCAAGGTGAGGACCTTAACCACTATGCTATTGCGCTGCCCCTACCCAGACCTATCTTAGGTGGAACCGGTAGGATTTCACTTTGTTGCAATTTTCTGAGTAAGAAATGAGTTCACAATAGCTCTCAGATATCAGTGTCACGGGACCAGGCACTGTTACAATGAAGGGAGGACAGCTGAGCTGCCCAAGAACTAAGCTGGGAACAAAATCACCACCATCTTAGAGGACTGCACAGGCTCCACAGAAAAAACAGCCCAGACAAGGCACGCCACCAACTCTGCCCAAAATAACTCCAGAAGGTACTCAGACTTATTGGCCAACATGGGGTGACAAAATCAGTGCTGCCTACAAAATCAGTGCCACCAACAAAGCAATTATTTAGGACAATTGTGTTTTCCAAATCCAGGGCATTGATTGAACATAAAAAATCAACTTGCAGACCTGTAAGTAATACAGCTTAGAGATGATTTTGTCAATCAGATTGGCAACTACAAAAGGTAAAAGAAAAGACAAAGACATTATGAATGTTACTGGAGATTCTCCAGCAAAAGAGCAAAAGCTTCACCCACTTTCAGAGTTAACTGAGGAAGACATTGAGAAAATGGGGGACACAGAACTCAGAAAACTAGTTATAAAGCTGCTGATCAACAATGAGAAGCACAAACAAGAGTTCAAAGAAGAAATAGCAGTAATAAATCAAGTCAAGGCTGATATATCAGAAATTAAGAACATGGTAGAGCAAATTAAAAATACAGCAGAGAGTCTCAACAATAGAATGAATGAGGCAGAAGATCGAATTTCAGAATTAGAAGATATTTTCTGTCACCATGAAGAAACAAACAAAAAGCTGGAAGCAGAGCTGGATCAAGCTTAAAAAAGTATCCAAGAATTAAAAGATATGATTAAAAGGTCGAACATAAGAGTTATGGGAGTTCCAGAAGGTGCAGAAAGAGAAGTTGGGATTAAAGGTGTATTCAATGAAATAGTAAAGGAAAACTTTTCTAATCTGGACAAAGAATTGGAAAAACAATATACAGGAGGGCTACAGAACTCCCAACAGAG